GTAAATATTCAGTGTGGGTCTAATTTTCCATGCACTATATATATATATATATATATATATAAACAGAGACAATTGTTTCATATTATCAATCGTCAGGCCTGACGATTGTATATAAGTATGAAACAGACTGTCGCCCTAAGTGTTGACTTTATGTTCACTTTTATATTTACACACTCTATCTCTGATATCGAGCACTTTATCCCATAAATATAGCACACCTTAAGACTATATTTATTATATATATATATATATATATATATATATATATATATATATATATTGAGGAGAACCAACCATACTTCAAAACGTGCGGTTGGTTCTGTACCTCAGCAATATAATCAAATCATATGTGCTGGTGTCTGGGCTGTAGGTTCCTAGGACAGAGCTTCTTGGCCCTCATATGTCGTATACGACATGGGAGTCCACCACAATATATGTGTGTGCGTGTGTGTGTATGTGTGTGTGGGGGGTGTGTGTAGAGAGAGACAGAGGGGATGAGAATCAAGTAATAGATATATTATACGACATTATTTCTTAATGATGTAAACGTTATATTTTATGTGTATGTGTGTTTGAGCAGATATTCGTGATTTTATTTTTCATCCAAATTTCAATTCTTATAAATACGTTTAACCACTAAATTAAGCGTTTATATATATATATATATATATATATATATATATATATATATATATATATATATTTACTTCAAACGTTATTATAGTGGATAGACATATTTCAAATAGACTCGCTATGTTTTTGTAAACAGTGCGCACAGCATGCATTGACATGCGCTTTCTCTCTCTTTAATTTTCTCTCTGCGCTCTCTCTCTCTCTCTCTCTCTCTCTCTCTTTCTCTCTCTCGCTTTCTCTTTATAGGAAAAACCATTTTAAATATGAGTATCCACTAAAACAATGTTAAAAAATCAAAAATAAATCATTAAAAATAAATCCATTATATTTTTATATATATATATATATATATATATATATATATATATATATATACATATATATATATATATATATATATATATATATGTATGTATGTATATGTATGTATATTACTTTACATATTGATATTTAGGATCGATTGTTTAAGTTTTAGAAGTGTGTGTGTTGTGTTTGCATAAAACGTTGTATATATATTGCATAAAATATATATATATATATATATATATATATATATATATATATATATATATATATATATATATATATATATTGGTTTTTGGTTTGTTTTACGGCATATCAACTTCAACTTGGATTATTTAATGCCAACAAGATTTTTATTGCTGGTATATTTTTAACTTCCATAATGTACCGCAGGTAATATTTTTCCTTGAAAAATGTTTTGCTGGTAAGTTTTTTTTTTTCCTTCAAAAATATAGTCCTGGTAATATTTTTTTCTTCAAAAATTTATTGCTGGTTTCTTTGTTTTGTTTTACGGCATATCAACCACAAAGAGTTATTTGAAATTGGCAAGATTTTTATTGCTGGGAATATTTTTTCTTTCCCAAATCTGGTAATATTTTTTCCAAAAATGTTTTGCTGGTTCTTTAAAAATTTATTGCTGGTAACATTTTTGCAAAAACGGATTGCTGGTATTAAAACTTATTTTTACACTTTCATAGTGTTTTGACCCCAGTTTGGTGGGTTTACCATTTGCTCATACCACGACAGCACATGAGATTTGATTATAGTGGTGCAGGTTTTGTGCAGAACCATCTACACTTTTTGATGGGCCAAATACAGAGACTTGGTACCACAGGGTCACCAAACGACCCTTCGGAGGTTTTGAATTCAGAGTTGTCTGTTCTGCTAGACCAGTTGCCATCAAAGGGTTCTAGAACCCAGTCTGTCCTGCTATTTACCCATAGCTGGAGGGAGATGAGGTTTCACAATTTTCCCAGAGGTATTAGCACGTAAATGAATGTCATGGATTCGAATGAAATTCCGATTCCTCAATCCAAGTCTCTATCCATTAATCCACCGTGCCTATGTCTATAATTTGAAAATCAGGAAATGAAAGTTAAAAGTTATTTATACTTTTATTTTATTTTTTAAACGTCTATTGAGCACTTTTTAATACCACTGTTTTCTGGTCTGAATTAAATCTGACCATGAACCTTTTATGTATTATATATATATATATATATATATATATATATATATATATATATATATATATATATATATATATATATATATATATAATTTTATATATATATGATAATTTTATATATATATATATATATATATTATAATTTTATCATATAGACAAAAAGTGAGTAAAATTGTTTTGTCTATATGATAAAATTATAATAAATGAATAATTTTATCATATATATATATATATATATATTATATTATTTATCATATAGACAAAATATGAGTAAAATGGATTTGTCTATATGATAAAATAATAATAAATAAATAATTAACTATCGCTATCGAAGCCTCTTTTGGATTAATGCTGTGAACGTTGGAATTTATATATTACTTTCGTTCTCATCGCATATATATATATATATATATATATATATATATATATATATATATGAAGCTAAATACGATTCATTAATAGACCCAAACCGTTTACACTAGCTGTTCTGTACGTTAATATTTAAATATTTCCTCAAATGAGTTTCGTTTTCTATCACAGAGGATTATGTATCGCCCGTAATCGCGACACTACCAATGGCCAATCAGGTGAGTTTTTTTATCCATCGCGCAACAGTAGACGCCCTTGTGTTAAAGTCAGTTTCAGCGCTATCTTGCATCGTTATCTTGTATGTATAAAGGTAGATATTTAAGTATTGATTTGCACGCAACTTACGATTTCCAGATATTGGTCATTTGCATGTGTGTAGACGCCCGTTTCTCCGTGGCTAAGTTTATTACTGTACTTATGTAAAGATTTTCCAAGCGTAGCTTAGTTGTGGCACAAGGCCGAAAGCGTGGGGCATCTAGTGAGGATCGAACTCACTTTTCAGTAGTAACTGACCTAGCAAGACAAGCTTGCTAACCAATACACCACGCCGAGGTACCCTTACTGTACGTACTGTATGTATGTTCGGAGTGATTGATTTTTACGTATGTTGTTTTACTATACTCTTCTGTGTCTGGCACGAGGCTATAAGCAAGTTAACAGTAGCTTTTCATTATATTTTTCGCCCAATAGAACAGTCACTCGAAATAGAATATAAAATGAACAAGATTGTCATAGTGGTGTGGGAGAAAAAGTGCATATTATAAGGATATGTATGACAGATAATAGTTGACCCTAGACATGAAGAGGTTAAAAGAGTATAGTTATCAGGGAAGCAACCTCTCGGGATTCTTTTAAACAAGGTAACAGTTCCGGAGAAGAAGCTGTTTGAATCAAACTTTCCTCCTTACCAATGAAATCTAGTGTTACTAAGCGATTCTGTGTACCGCGTCTCTTCATGACATCGGCGATTATAGCTCTCCATGACTTCCTATCGCTTGTGGTCCTTAGCAGGTTTTTCTCTCCTTTTGTTAAAGGCTCCGCTCCCTGTTACGCCATTCACTCACATAAGCTCGTCAAGGAAGTTACTCGGTGACTTTCCCTATCGCTCTTGTCATCAAAATGCCCTAGGAGTATTAAGTTTTCCAAGACCTCTTTCCTCATTATAAATATTAGCTCTCTTTTGCTGATTCGGAGTGTAACAGTGGTTACTCGTTTCTTTTTTTAAAATAAAAACTGCAATCGATATTGCTTAACTTCAGAGATCAAACGCCAATTCACCGTATACAATGTGCATCTGTGTGTGCATCTTAGACGTTGTGACTTTTGTCCACTCTAGTGGCGTGTGTGTGTGTGTGAGTGTGTGAGAGAGAGAGAGAATGTGTGTGTGAGTGTGTGTGTGTAAGTGTATGGATGTGAGTGTGTGTGTGTGAGGTGTGTGAGTGAGAGAGAGTGCGTGTGAGTGGGAGTGTATGTGTGTGAGTGTGTGTGTGTGAGAATATGTGTGAGTGTGTGTGTGAGTGTGTGTGTGTGTGTGAAAGAGAGAGAGAGTGTGTGTGAGAAAGTGTGTGTGAGAGAGAGTGTGTGAGTGTGTGTGAGTGTATGTGTGTGAGTGTGTGTGTGAGAATATGTGTGAGTGTGTGTGTGTGTGTGAAAGAGAGAGAGTGTGTGTGGAGAGTGTGTGAGAAATGTGTGGGTGTGTGTGTGAGAGAATGTGTGAGTGTGTGTGTGTGAAAGAGAGAGAGTGCGTGTGAGAGTATGTGTGTGAGAGAGTGTGTGTGTGAGTGTGTATGTGTGTGAGTCTGTGTGTGAGAGAGACTGTGCGTGAGTTTGTGTGTGTATGAAATACAGAGAGAGAGAGAGAGTGTGTGTGTGTATGTGAGAAAGAGTGAGAATGTACTCAAACCCGCCTCCGTCATGTCAGGCGCAAAAGAAATCCTAACGTAATGGTTCTCTGGTGATCAGGGTATCTTCCACCTAAGCAGCTCATTCCTATTTCGCTGACAGGTAGGATGAAGGGCAGGATCAAATGTAGACACTGCTGCCTGCGTTAAAACACAAGAGGTGTTTTGCGAGTTAAAATTCACTTTATGATCATGCGGCATTTGTGAACTCAACGTGCACATTAAATAAATAACCAATGTGAGTATATTAGTCAAGAACTGAAACGCGTCTGTGTATCTCTGTGTGTGTGTGTTGAATGTATGCCTTATGCTTGTACCTGAGCGTGCGTGGAGGCGTTTTGCAGCTGCGTTTGCAACGGACGTGAGTGTGTACACGTGTGTGCAGCATGTGTGTGTAAGTCAAATCCTGTACGAATGTTTATCTTCTGCATGTTCGCATGCATTGTTTATGGCGCGCTTGTGGGCGCAAAGCCTGAGATCGATGTCTAATTCCGCCGGTAACAAAGGTCGGTGTTCGTACATAGGCTAAGAAAAAAATATTCCACCGATAGGACCTCTCCACTTTGAAGAGCAAGACTAGGCGCAGTTTTACTACTGCATCTTAGTTACGACCATATCACGTTGAAACCGCGGTTCTCGTACAATCACCGAAGTTAAGCAACGTCAGTACCTAGATGGGTAACCGCATGGGAATACCAGGTACTGTAAGCTTGGAAGTGCAGCTCGTATAATGAGCTTACGGCCATATCACGTTGAAACACCTCTTCTCATACCATGACCAAAGTTAAGCAACGTCGAGGGTGATCAGTACTATGATGGGTGACTGCTTGTGAATTCCAGTTACTTTAAGTTTGGATGTGCAGCTGGTGTAATAGATAACGGCTCGGAAATGGGACTCCAGTCGGTTTGGTCATGTACACTTACGCATAGGTAAAAGTGTGAATCCATTTCGTCCCCCATCTATGGGTTAATTAGTAGGACTTGTATGAATAAACTATTATTATCTCCAAATGATTCTTACGATCTAAAAAATAGTTTCCGGCTTTAAATAATCTATAAAAGGTTGATAAGACGTAAAAAAAAATGAACCAATCAATCAATTCACCTACTGATGCGGACTTTCCACCCTAATTAAAAGAAGGTTTAGGAAAGAAATCCCATAAGTACTGAAAATAACGATAAAGTTTAGTGGACTTCAGAAATTTATTTTTCTGGAAATTTGTTTTAATAGAATGATTTTATAAATTTTAACCGAAAGTAGCATTGTTTGATCTGTCAATAAATGCCGAATGTTTCCTTATAGGGAAACGGCTAATATTACTATTTCGCCTTGCGCCAAACTAGTCAGCATTTAGTAGATATATGACTGTTTACGTGTTAGTGGATGGCAGGCCATGAGTATTATACATATGTGCTGGCGTTGTTTAATGTTAGATGTGTACACATTAGTGCACCGGTGTGTGTGGAGGCGTTAGAGAGGGGTTGACCATCACTTCACATGTGGGAGTGTTTTTTTTTTTTGTTTTTTTTTGTTGTTTTGTTTTTTGTTTTTGTTACTTTCTGGCATACACTTACACCCCCCCTACGCAATTTCGTGCGTTGTCATATCATTTCAACGATCTTCAATTTATCTTGTCTTCCTATCAGACTTTCCCGCGTGTGTCTGTGTGTCCGTGTTCCAAGCGCGTAAAACGTCCTCCGCCTTTCATCTTTCCCCTACTCTTTCTCCTCCTCCTCCTTCTTACAACACATCCCCGTTTTTCTATAATGTTTCTGCCAACTCTAAAAACGGTAAAGAGGTTACTACAGCCACAGCAAAGAGTAACAGAGAAAGCGAAAGAGAGAGTTGGAAAAACCGCTGCTGGTAAAAGAAGAAACTGAAAGCAGTTCGTCCAACTGCAGACTTAACACTCTCACCAGATCTCTTCTCGTTTCGTTTTCACTCTTTCTATTTCAAGCTATCTCTCACTCTGTCTCTCTCTTTCTCAGTGCTTGGAGACTATTTCTTCTTCTTCTTCTTCTTCTTCTTCTTCTTCTTCTTCTTCTTCTTCTTCTGTTAAAGGAAATCAGAGGGCTCTTTCCTCCAACTCAGTCTAACAATGTCTCAGTGTACATCGTCTCTCTTTACGCTTTCTGTCTATCAACTTTCTTTTACGATTCGAAATACGACGCGGAACGAGAAAAAGTCGTCGGTATTATTACGGATTTAGACAACTGAAGAGAAGTAACTTAACGAGAAGGACGAAGCGGTTGGGTTCGTCTCGAAACGATATTTAATAGGATTTTTTTTTATTTTAATTTTTTATTTCGGAAAAAAGAATTAATACTGTTAAAAAAAAAAAAAAAAAAAAGGAGAAAAAACATTGGGATACCGGATGTGTTTGGTCTTTTTTAAATTTCTGAAATATCTACAAAAACAACAACAACGACAGGGAAATGCTTACGGGATTCATTTTTAAAAAGCCGGTAAGTTTCCATCACACCCAACTGTTGAACTGTTTCTATTTATTTATATTGCACGTTAGGAGAAATCTTTGAAAGAAAAAAAAAAGTTTGCTTGCTGAGGGAAATGGAATAAGTGCCGAGACAGAAATAGATAATCAGTCATTAATTTCTTGATTTGTTGAACATTATCATGACATGGCTGCTATATATATATATATATATATATATATATATATATATATATATATATATATATATATGTATATATCGCTTATTTGTCTTTCTTTTTTTAATTTTATGTTCTTATAGATATTCTATATATATATATATATATATATATATATATATATATATATATATATATATATATATATATATATATATATATATATATATATATATATTATCTCTATCTCTCTCCTATATATATATATATTCTCATCCTGTTCATGTCTAGGTTTGTTCCCTCTCTCTCTCTCTCTCTCTCTCTCTCTCTCTATATATATATATATATATATATATATATATATATATATATATATATATATATATATATATATGTGTGTGTGTGTGTATATATATATACCCATCTCATTCTGTTCATATGTCAGTCTGTTCCTATCAATCTATTTCACTTTTTTTTCAAATTTTTCTATCTTATTGTACTCATATCGAAGTCTGTTTATATCTATCTATCTATCTATCTATCTATCTATCTATCTATCTATCTATCTATATATATATATATATATATATATATATATATTCTATCTCTTTATATGATTGTGATTATATCTAAGCTTGTTCATATCTATCTCATTTTGTTTATACCTGTCTTTCTAGCTCATTCTGTTCAAATCTATATTTTATTGTGTTCACATCTAAGTCTGTTCACATCGATCTATCTATACCTGTTCATATCTCTCAATATTTATCAATTTACATGTGTGTGTGTATGTGTGTGTGTGTGTTTACTCATAATTATGGTGAAAAGGATCGGGTGAGGAAATGCTTTTTGATTATTTCTCACAACAATAACAAAATTGAAAGCAAACTGATTAAAAACTTTTAAACGTTGTCTATTTAAAAATTCCAGCTTCAGTTGTGTTTAAGTATCTTAAAATATATATATATATATATTTTTTTTTTAGGGATAATTCTTTTATAAACACACAAATTCAGGTGCATACGTATATCTGTATATTTTCTTTCCAGTTCGGACCATGATTCCGGAAAATAATTTGAACAATCTTCTTAGGCATGTATACAATGATGCATACATCAGAGAGTGCTGAAAAGTTCTCGGTCTGACATCACCTCCCAATATTAGTATTCCAATGATTAAGTACGGTAGGAAGTACGCCTTTGTACGTACATATATAGATATGTATATATCCAGGTAAAATGAGAGAGATATGACGTATAATTCCACCGTACTTAACATTTAATTTATCAGAGGGCTCAATTTTAGGTTATGGTTTTAATATCCCATACACACACACACACACACACACAACACACACACACATATATATATATATATATATATATATATATATATATATATATATATATATATAGGCAGTTAGGTTGAAGAATCAGGATGAATCTTTACTTCACATTCTTTTATTTGATTTTTGTACATTTCTGGATAATATTTATTTTTTATGGGGGCGGGGGTGAAAGATCCCAAAAGAATTTGAATAATTACATAAATCTATATACAGCTTTTAGGAAGTAAGTTTGGCCGAGAATATCTTAGTACTAGTTCAGATATAAACATAGACACACAACACACACACGCACATATATGTATATATATACATATATACTTATATACATATAAACACACACTCACACAAACACATATATATATGTGTGTGTTTGAGAGAGTGAAAGAGAGAGAGTGTGTGTGTGTATAGTTATATGCGTGTGTGAGTGTGTAGGTATGAATATGTGTGTGTGTGAGTGTGTGTATGTATATATCAATGTGTATGTGTGTATGTAAAATGGGTACTACAAATTAAATAGTAGGTGAAAAGGTTCGTTTAATTTTAATGTCTGAAGAAAGAATTATGACAGTTTTACCACGAAACTTGTTAAGTTTAGAATTTAAATATTTTTTTGAATGAATGTATATATATATATATATATATATATATATATATATATATATATATATATATATATATATATATATATATTGATTTGAAAGATTTGAACAAAGTGAATAGACTGACAGATGTACAGAATGAGATAGGTGTGTGTATATATATATATATATATATATATATATATATATTTATATATATATATATATATATATATATACATATATATGTGTGTATGTATATATACATATATATATGAAAATAAAATAGATAAAAATAGACAGACATATGATCGTTGTGTATATATATATATATATATATATATATATATATATATATACATATATATATATATACCTATATATATATATATATATATATATATATATATATATATATATATATATATATATATATATATATGAATGAATATATATCAAAATCATATACACGTTATTGCTATGAGTGACTTGATTATTCATTTAACATATACACTCTATCAGAATTTTTACACACACACACACACACACACACACACACACACACACACACACACACACACACATACACACACACATATACACACCAGTTAAATTATCAAGGATTTCCTAGTCTTACCGGTATTTCACTCATGTCTAAATCACTCAATAAAAGAACATTTTTCTCTTGTATTGAAAAATTACTTTCCGCCTTTCGGTACAATTTTACACACACACACAGACATATTTATTTATGTTATTATAAGAGATTATAATAAAAACATTTTTAAGTCGCTACCCAAAAGCTTTCATTTTTCATTACTTTGATCGTACAATCATGAAAGCTTTTCTGTAGCGACTTAAAAATGTTTTTATTATAATCTCTTATAATAAAAAACAACATAATATTATATTGCTCTACTTTATATTTTTTTTAAAAGTAAATGCTCGAACAATGGAATTTTACTCCATCTGTTCTTTCTCTCATTTATATATATATATATATATATATATATATATATATATATATATATCAGAGATAACACTGAGGTTAACACTGTGTGGCAACAGCCTGTTACATGCTGGAATGCAATCTTCTGACCAAGAAGATTGCGTTCAACCATCCCTATATATATATATATATATATATATATATATATATATGTAAGCAAATATATGAATATAGATCCGACAGTATGAAGAAAAATATACGAAAAAACAAACAAAATTGAATTGAATATAGTCTAATGTTAATTATGTTTTATGAATATGTCCTGAAGATGGTCGACTACACCGAAGCGTCCGA